CTCTCTCTCTCTCTCTCTTCTCTCTTTCTCTCTCTCTCTCTCTCTCTCTCTCTCTCTCTCTCTCTCTCTCTTCTCAGTGCTACAAGCATGGAGTTGCAATCCTTTCGTCTTCTTTCACACACTATATTTCACACCTTTGGTACCATCCTCAGGGCTAGCCTTGCGACGTTTTTTATTATTATTGTGTTTTACTGTGTGTGGGTTCCAGAGCGGCGCTGTGTACTCCAGCAATACATTCTGTTGTTGCTGTTGTGTGTGTGTGTGTGTGTGTGTGTGTGTGTGTGTGTGTGTGTGTGTGTGTGTGTGTGTGTGTGTGTGTCACACCTCTCCTTATAAGTATTAATGGATCATGCCTCTACTTACCACTTCATTCTCCAGGTCGTTTCACTTCCTGAATACTTTAAGACAGAAGAAATACTTCCCAATGTCCCTGTGACTCATTTGTATCTTCGACATCCAACAGTATCCGTGTTACTGTTACCCGCTATCAGTGTTTCCACGTCCTCTCAGTATTCAGTATGTTATAATGCCACTCCTAGTCCTCCTTTCTGCTAGTGTTATCTGGTTGAATTCCCCTAACTTCTTCCCATGTGACATACCCGGGATTACTCTTGTTGTACTCTGCAATTTCTTCAGTTTCTTGAAGTGTTTGGCCAGGAGTGGGTTACATACTGGTGCTGTGTACTCAAGTATGAAAATGATGTATATCGTAAACATGTATCACCCATGACTCCTTACTAAGATGTCTAAGGTTTAGTCTTAGATTTGTGAGATGCGCATTAGCCACATTGGTTTTTCGGCTAATGTGCGCCTCAAGCGATATGTTTGGTACAGTACTCACCCCAAGATCCTTCTTAACTAAGGTTTGCAGCTTTTGCTCCCGAGTGCAATGTTTTTTTTCTTTTATAACGTCATACCTTTGCACTTGCAGAAGTTAAATTCCAGTGGCCACTTGTCAGACCAGACCTGCAACTCATGAAGAATCATCTATACGCCTTTCTTGTCTTCATCTGCTTGTATTCTCCTCATCAGTTTCACAATAGCTGCGAAGAGGGATACCTCTGAGTCTATTATCCCTTTCGTCATGTCATTCACTTACACAATAAATAGTACGGGTTCTATTACCGATCCTTGTGGAACCCCACTTGTCATATGCACCCATCCCGACACCTCGGACAATCACTTACTGTTTTCTTCCTGCCATATATGCCTTGAGCCACTGTAGTGCCTTCTCTGTTATTCCTGCCTGCTCCTCTAGCTTTTGTACCAGTGCGGTATTGTATCAAAATCATTCCTGCAGTCCAAGACAATGCAATCTGCGCATCCCTTTCTCTCCTGTCATACTTTTGCTAGGTTGTCATAGAACTCTTGTAAGTTTGTGAGACAAGATTTACCATATCTAAACCCGTGCTGGCTGTCTAGGTGTTCCACCAGTCTACTGATCATCTTCATAACCTTGCCCACTGCACACGTCAGTGACGGTGGTCTGTAGTTTAACGCTACCTGTCTCTGTCTCTCTCCTTTCTTGAAGATTGTGATTACATTTGTGCGTGTGTGTGACAGAATATGGCTCTCTTTCTCTCTCTCTCTCTCTCTCTCTCTCTCTCATCTCCCCTCTCTCTCTCTCTCTCTCTTCTCATCTCTCTCTCTCTCTCTCTCTCTCTCTCTTCTCTCTCTCTCTCTCTCTCTCTCTCTCTCTCACTCTCTCTCTCTCTCTCTCTCTCTCTCTCTCTCTCTCTCTCTCTCTCTCTCTCTCTCTCTCTCTCTCCCAAGCACAGAGGGTTCGTTTAACTCGTAAGAGAAAACAGGAGACGGTGGCGAACTAATAGTGTCATATATCTGTGTGAGAGGGAGGGAGGGAGGGAGGGAGAAGGAGGGTGGAGAAGGAGGGAGTAAAGGGATGTGATAGAGAAAAGGAATGAGACAAAGAGAGGGAGAGAACAACAGAGGGAAGAAAAGTTAGGGAGGAAGGAAGGAGAGAGGGAGGAATGAGAAATAGTGATGGAGTGTAAAGAGATAGAGGGAGTGATGGAATGAATAAGGAGATAAAGAGTGATTGAGTGAGGAAGAACAGTCACAGTACTCACTAACACTAACACACAAACATTCACTAATACATACTAACACGCATTAACACTCACTAACACGAACTAAGACACACGAACACACCCACACTGATACACACAGGCAGGACTACAAAGAGACCTGGACAAGCTGGACACGTGGTCCAGCAACTAGCTCCTCGAATTTAACCCCGCCAAATGGAAAGTCATGAAGATCGGGGAAGGGCAAAGAATTCCACAGACAGAGTACAGGCTGTGTGGGTAAAGACTGCAAACCTCGCTCAAGGAAAAGAATCTTGTGGCGAGTATAATACCGAACACATCTGAGGCGCACATCAACCAGATGACTGCTCCAGCATATGGGCGCCTGGCAAACCTGAGAATAGCCGTCCGATACCTCGGTGAGAAATCGCTCAAGACTCTGTACACCGTGTACGTCAGGCCCATACTGGAGCATGCAGCAAACCTGGTCAAGCACGTCGAGGAATTAGAGAAAGTGCTAAGGTTAGGAACAAGACTAGACCCAAAGCTAAGGGGATTGCCCTACGAAGAAAGGTTAAGGGAAATCGATTTGACTATCGTCAGACAGGAGGGTTACTGGAGACATGATAACGACATACAAAATACTGCGAGGAATTGACAAGGTAGGTAGAGACAGGATGTTTCAGAGATGGGACACAGTAACAAGGGGACACAATTGAATATTGAAGACTCAGATGAGCCAGAGGGATGTCAAGAAGTATTTCTTCAGTCATAGAGTTGTCAGGAAGTGGAATAGTCTGGCAAGTGACGTAGTGGAGGCAGGAACCATACATAGTTTTAAGGCGAGGTATGATAATGCTCATGGAACAGGAAGAGGGAGAGGACCTAGTAGCGATCAGTGAAGAGGCGGGCCAGGACCTATGAATCGACCCCTGCAACCACAAATAGGTGAGTACACTTACATTGACACTAACATACACTAACACACTTGCACACTCTCTAACAGTCACACTAGCATACAAACACACACACACATACACACACACACATACACACACACACACACACACACTCACACACACACACACACTCACACACACACACACACACACACACACACACACACACACACACACACACACACACACACACACACACTCACACACACCACACACACACACACACACACACACACACACACACACACACACACACACACACACTCACACACACACCACACACACACCACACACACACACACACACACCACACACACACACACACACACACACACACACACACACTCACACACACACACACACACACACACACACACACAAAACACACACACACACACACACACACACACACACACACACACACACACACACACACACACACACACAACACACACACACAATATTTCTTGCTGTCACAAAAATGGTTTGACGTCAAGTGTGATTTTTAAAGCAGAAACATAAATCTGTTAATTACACGTTGCTGAGTGAACGCACTCGTCTGGCTGAGTGAACGCACTCGTCTGGCTGAGTGAACGCACTCGTCTGGCTGAGTGAACGCACTCGTCTGGCTGAGTGAACGCACTCGTCTGGCTGAGTGAACGCACTCGTCTGGCTGAGTGAACGAACTCGTATGGCTGAGTGAACGCACTCGTATGGCTGAGTGAACGCACTCGTATGGCTGAGTGAACGCACTCGTCTGGCTGAGTGAACGCACTCTGTCCGTGTGAAAGTACTCCTCTGACTGAATACACAGCCAACTCTACGAGTGAACACAGCCAGCTCTACGAGTGAACACAGACAGCTCTACGAGTGAACACACACAGCTCTACGAGTGAACACAGCCAGCTCTACGAGTGAACACAGACAGCTCTACGAGTGAATACAGACAGCTCTTCGAGTGAACACACACAGCTCTACGAGTGAACACAGACAGCTCTACGAGTGAACACAGACAGCTCTTCGAGTGAACACAGACAGCTCTACGAGTGAACACAGCCAGCTCTACGAGTGAACACAGACAGCTCTACGAGTGATCACAGACAGCTCTACGAGTGGACACACTTTTACAATCTCAAAAAAAGTAACTCGCAAAGAAATTCTTTTTGAAGTCTCTTAATTATTTTCTAAAGCAGGAAGCAGAGTTTTTTGAAGGGGGGGGAGGGTAGGGGGAGGGGGAGGGTAGGGGGAGGGGGAGGAGAGGGAAGGGGGTAAGGGAAGGGGGAAGGGAAGGGGGCAGGAGATGGAACCCCCCCCTCACACCTAACTGACTCACCATGGAGCTGGAAAGGGGAAGGGCTCTTGGTCCGTGGAACTGGAGCTGCTCCCCTCCCTTGGATCACCCTGACGGGTTTCCGCTCCCACGCTCTCTTTGACCCCTGAGAATGAACCTCTTTCTGATTATAACAATAATAATAATAGTAATAATAATATTTATTATTATTATTATTATTATTATTATTATTATTATTATTATTATTATTATTATTATTATCATTATTATTATTATTATTATTATTATTATTATTATTATTATTAATATTATATCTTGTTATCTTTATTAAGAGCTGGTGAGTGAGCATGCGGGTTTAGCGCTTTTCGGCGCCTTCAGTATTAAAACTAAAACCTCTTGTGGTTTATGCAGTTTTGTGTTTTATTGTTTTATAAACTGGTTAGTGGTGGTGTTATTTACCAGTGGTGGTGTTATTTATCAGTGGTGGTGTTATTTACCAGTGGTGTTGTTATTTACCAGTGGTGTTGTTATTTACCAGTGGTGGTGTTATTTACCAGTGGTGGTGTTATTTACCAGTGGTGTTGTTATTTACCAGTGGTGGTGTTATTTACCAGTGGTGTTCTTATTTACAAGTGGTGTTGTTATTTACCAATGGTGTTGTTATTTATCAGTGTCTTGTTATTTACCAGCGGTGTTGTGTTTCAGGTCCGGACTTCTGGGGACTGATCAACCCAGACTGGAGTCTGTGCAGCAAGGGTCGTCGCCAGAGTCCCATTGACATAGACCCAGCGAGACTCCTTTACGACCCTAACCTACGACTGCTGCATATTGACAAACACAGGGTGAGTGTGTGTGTGTGTGTGTGTGTGTGTGTGTGTGTGTGTGTGTGTGTGTGTGTGTATAAACAAAAGTTTGAACATTTATGCTCTTGCTATACAACAATATTTCTGTGTTTAAGTATGTATAACTATGTTTGATAATAGCAACAGATATACTCTACTCCCAAGACTATGATATACACACATCAGTACAAGATCTATACACTAGTGATACCAGATATTCCCAGCTTCAAGACATCTGGATACAGTGATAAGACAGATGTACAGCAGATATTAAATACAGGGAAACAGGTGTGTAGCAGGTAAACTGAATACAGGTATATACATTTGTGGAACAGGTTGAGTTGACAGTGTTGTTGTTGTTTGTAACAGGTGTCAGGACACCTGGAGAACACTGGACACAGCGTAGTGCTGACACTGGACAGTACTAAAACTCAACTCAACGTGACTGGAGGGCCGCTGTCTTACCGCTACCAGCTCACAGAAGCTCACCTCCGCTATGGTATCGTCGACCTGCTGGGCTCTGAGCATACCATCAATGGCAGAGCCTTTCCTGCTGAGGTAGGTACCAAGAGAGAACTTTCTCTGCTGAGGTAGGTATTAGGAGAGAACTTTCTCTGCTGAGGTAGGTAGTAGGAGAGAACCTTCTCTGCTGAAGTGATTACTAGGAGAGAGCCTTTCCTGCTGAGGTAGGTACTAGGAGAGAGCCTTCCCTGCTGAGGTAGGTAATAGGACAGAGCCTTCCCTGCTGAGGTAGATAGTAGGAGAGAACTTTCCTTGCTGAGGTAGGTACTAGGAGAGAACTTTCCCTGCTGAGGTAGGTACTAGGAGAGAGCCTTCTCTGCTGAGGTGATTACTAGGAGAGAGCCTTCCCTGCTGAGGTAGGTACTAGGAGAGAGCCTTCCCTGCTGAGGTAGGTACTAGGAGAGAGCCTTCCCTGCTGAGATAGGTACTAGGAGAGAACTTTCTCTGCTGAGGTAGGTACTACGAGAGAACCTTCTCTGCTGAGGTAGGTACTAGGAGAGAACTTTCCCTGCTGAGGTAGGTACTAGGAGAGAACCTTCTCTGCTGAGGTAGGTACTAGGAGAGAACCTTCTCTGCTGAGGTGATTACTAGGAGAGAGCCTTCCCTGCTGAGGTAGGTACTAGGAGAGAGCCTTCCCTGCTGAGGTAGGTACTAGGAGAGATCCTTCCCTGCTGAGGTAGGTACTAGGAGAGAGCCTTCCCTGCTGAGGTAGGTACTAGGAGAGAGCCTTCCCTGCTGAGATAGGTACTAGGAGAGAACTTTCTCTGCTGAGGTAGGTACTAGGAGAGAACCTTCTCTGCTGAGGTAGGTACTAGGAGAGAACTTTCCCTGTTGAGGTAGGTACTAGGAGAGAACCTTCTCTGCTGAGGTAGGTACTAGGATAGAACCTTCTCTGCTGAGGTGATTACTAGGAGAGAGCCTTCCCTGCTGAGGTAGGTACTAGGAGAGAGCCTTCCCTGCTGAGGTAGGTACTAGGAGAGAGCCTTCCCTGCTGAGGTAGGTACTAGAAGAGAGCCTTCCCTGCTGAGGTAGGTACTAGGAAAAAAACCTTCCCTGCTAAGGTGGGAACTAGGGAAGGGAAAGAGGAGTCGGAAGAAAAAGAGAAAAGAATAAGGAAAAGGGTAGTGTGGGATAGATAAATAGCTGCATAGATAGATAGACAGAAAGAGAGAGAGAGAGAGAGAGAGAGAGAGAGAGAGAGAGAGAGAGAGAGAAGAGAGAGAGAGAGAGAGAGAGAGAAGTGCCAGGTAAAGAGTTGAGGGAGGGAGTGCAAGAGTAAATGAGAAGAACTAGTGAATCCACTATCTACAGTCATAGCTGGAGTCACTTCCCTCCCACACTTCCTCACTATATATAGTACAATTTTCCCTCCCACACTCCATCCCGCTGCTCCCTCCCTCCCACACTACATCCCGCTGCTCCCTCCCTCCCACACTACATCCCGCTGCTCCCTCCCTCCCACACTACATCCCGCTGCTCCCTCCCTCCACACTACATCCCGCTGCTCCCTCCCTCCCACACTACATCCCGCTGCTCCCTCACACCCTCGTCATGTCACAGAGGAAGACAGGACACGAGAGTAATGATTTATGCTCTTGACAGCTTCTGACTTGTTGGGTAATGACGCTCATCTCCCTTCCCCCTTCTCATCTCCACACCCCCATCCTAATCTCTCCTCCCCCTTTCCCCATCTCCATTATGACGACCACCTCCCCTCCGGTAACGACCCCTGCAATATCTCCCTCTCATCTCTGATGACGACCCCCACCCCTCTGACGACTCCCCTGATTATTACCCATGATACTCTCACTGTATATATAAAAAGATATATGCACCTCCTGTTGCATATATACTTGGTTAGCCTTCTTGTAGATAACCTTAGTTAACTTCATTGAATATACCTTTGATTAACTTCGCTGTATATACCCTTAGTGAACTTGAATATACAATTAGTTAACTTCCTTATATATACCCTCTTAACTCCCTTCTATATACCTTTCGCTAATTCTACTGTATATTCCATTGGTTAATTCTTTTAATGTAAATTGGTTAACTTCACTTTGTATATGCTTAGTTAACTTCAATAATGTTAATCATTATATAATTCCCTAAAGATCCTCTCCTCCCCTTGATCAGCCCCTGCTTCCCCTCCCCTCCCCTTTCCCTGGCGTACTAAGGGAAGGGGGAGAATGTATGACAAGGGATGTAAGTACGTTATAAGAGGGAGGTGGGAGAATGGATAATTAAGCAAGTGTAAACACAGACTGATGGAGGAGGAAACTGGATGAAGAACAAGTGGACGGGAATACAAGTGGGTGGGAATATAAGTGGACGGGAATATAAGTGGACGGGAATATAAGTGGACGGGAATATAAGTGGACGGGAATATATCTTTAATTCGCAATATTAAGATAGTAAGGACCCAGGAGGCTGAGAAAGACTCACTGGTGAGTAAGACTCACACTGATGAGTAAGACTAACACTGGTGGGTAAGATTCACACTGGTAAGACTCACACTGGTGAGTAAGACTCACACTGGTGAGTAAGACTCACACTGGAGAGTAAGACTCACACTGGTGAGTAAGACTCACACTGGTGAGTAAGACTCACACTGGTGAGTAAGATTCACACTGGTGAGTAAAACCTTCACGTAGCATCAAAGGCTAAGACACAGATTATCTTCCATCACGGCTCAGGGACTGATAACTTCAAACCACCTCACAATTTCGTTCGTCTCCAAGACGGAAATTCACAATTCTATTCGACTGATGAAGCCTGCTAATGAGTAAGACACATGTGCAAAGTGTTCCACACATGTGTCTTACCCACTAACCTATACCACAGTAATGTCAGGTGTGTATCTCTCAATGTACGTACCTTACAGTATACGTACCTTACAGTGTACGTACCTTATAGTGTACGTACCTTACAGTATACGTTCCTTTCAGTGTACGTACCTTACAGTGTACGTACCTTATAGTGTAGGTACCTTACAGTATACGTACCTTTCAGTGTACGTACCTTACAGTGTACGTACCTTACAGTGTACGTACCTTACAGTGTACGTACCTTACAGTGTACGTACCTTTCAGTGTACGTACCTTACAGTGTACGTACCTTACAGTGTACGTACCTTACAGTGTACGTACCTTACAGTGTACGTACCTTTCAGTGTACGTACCTTACAGTGTACATACCTTTCAGTGTACGTACCTTACAGTGTACGTATCTTTCAGTGTACGTACCTTACAGTGTACGTACCTTACAGTGTACGTACCTTTCAGTGTACGTACCTTACAGTGAACGTACCTTACAGTGTACGTACCTTACAGTGTACGCACCTTTCAGTGTACGTACCTTACAGTGTACATACCTTTCAGTGTACGTACCTTACAGTGTACGTACCTTTCAGTGTACGTACCTTACAGTGTACGTACCTTACAGTGTACGTACCTTTCAGTGTACGTACCTTACAGTGAACGTACCTTACAGTGTACGTACCTTTCAGTGTACGTACCTTACAGTGAACGTACCTTTCAGTGTACGTACCAAACAGTGTACGTACCTTTCACAGTTTACTTTGAGGTGGAGAGGTTAAATAAAGTGTTCATGTGCCTTTTGTAGACGATAGGTTTCAAACTCCCTTTAAAACATAAAGGCTGAGTGTACAGTAGTAATCAAAGATTACTTTTGCCCGCTGCTTATTAAGACGCTAGCCATCCCTCTTGTATTTTTCACCTCCATACAAGATGATGGAAGGGTTATTTTCACAAGTCTTGAAGACTAAAAGAGAAACTTGCGGGTTTGTTCCCCTGACAGGTCAACAAGACACTCGACTGTTCCCACATTAGATATATAAGCATCTGTTGCTTCTTGTAGACCTACCCTGGCCTCTCCAAGACCTACCTTGGCCTCTCCAAGACCTACCCTGGCCTCTCCAAGACCTACCCTGGCTTCTCCAAGACCTACCCTGGCCTCTCCAAGACCTACCCTGGCCTCTCCAAGATCTACCCTGGCCTCTCCAAGACCTACCCTGGCCTCTCCAAGACCTACCTTGGCCTCTCCAAGACCTACCCTGGCCTCTCCAAGACCTACCCTGGCCTCTCCAAGACCTACCCTGGCCTCTCCAAGACCTACCCTGGCCTCTCCACGACCTACCCTGGCTTCTCCAAGACCTACCCTGGCCTCTCCAAGACCTACCCTGGCCTCTCCAAGACCTACCCTGGCCTCTCCAAGACCTACCCTGGCCTCTCCAAGACCTACCCTGGCCTCTCCAAGACCTACCCTGGCCTCTCCAAGACCTACCCTGGCCTCTCCAAGTCCACGTCTAACCTCTGCTACACGAACACTGAACAATACCAGGAGCTTCACCACTAGATAAACAATAAACACACGAGGATCACTACTAAAACACTGAACAAACAGATACAGCCGGTCTTGTGCCATGTTTGAAAGCAAACAAACAAACACACACACACACACAACTCCCCTTCAGAATTAGTTGACTCCTTCCCACACATGTAAACATGCATACCAACACTGGTACAGCCACATATATAGATATATATATATATATATATATATATATATATATATATATATATATATATATATATATATATATAACATGTATGTATAAAATCCATCACAACAACTCTCTAAATAAAAAAAAGCAAATTTCGGTAACTCCTTTGAACTCAGAAATTAATATTCATTTCCAAATCAGTATGCAAAGGTAAAAATTAAACCTAACCTGAAACAATTCATGCCGAAAGGCAGGAAAATATGTATGTATGTGTGTATATATATATATATTATATATATATATATAATATATATATATATATATTATATATAATATATATATAATATATATATATATATATATATATATATATATATATTATATATATATATATATATATATATATATATATATATATATATATATATATATATATATATATATATATATATATATATATATATATATATATATATATATATATTAATATATATAAATATATATATATATATATATATATATATATATATATATATATATATATTATATATATATATATATGCAAAACAACCACTCTGAAAGAATAGAGAAATTCCAAGCGCTTTCGTGACTACTCACATTATCAAGGAACTATGGAACTGTGGTATTGTTCCTTGATAATGTGAGTAGTCACGAAAGCGCTTGGAATTTCTCTATTCTTTCAGAGTAGTTGTTTTGCATATTCTGAAATCACCTGTTTACTGTGATCTTATTGCATATATATATATATATATATATATATATATATATATATATATATATATATATATATATATATATATATATATATATACAGTTTACTTTAAGCCCTATTTTAGGGAGTAAAATAGGGCTTAAATAGGTTGCAATCAGCCAAAATGACCCTTTTTGTAGTCAATAGGCTTTAAAGTTCAATCAACCAATGAGTTTAGAAGAGAACGAGTCTTCACAGGAAGTCCTGGAGAGAGAGTATGAAGGCAGCTTGAAATAGTCGAGGCTTGAGCATCCAGCAGGCACATGAGAGCATTTTAAATCAGAATGAAGGCAAAGTTTTAGGTGGGGGAGGGTTCAATGTGCTGTTGGAGAGTGAATACAACATTTGTCAAGATACTGAATGAAAGCGGCTAGTCAGACTTGAGTTCTGGAGATGGGAAATGGGGTTTTAAGACCATCGACTACACCAAGGTCTTTATGGCTGCATGTTAGGAATAAGGTTATTTACACATTTTATTATAACGACGTTTTCATACATTAACAGCTTGACAAAGTTCATGGAGAGCGAAACGTTGCCACAGAAAAATGTCTCATTAGTTTTACATGGGTCGTTTTACCTAACATATTGTGAGTAATTCTATCAAAATTATCATATTATGGCTGCGTGTCGCCTGTTAATCACTAGTTAAGAACACTTGTATTCCCCGTAATAGGAACTAAAGTAAAATCTCAATGTATATACACTAAAAAACATATACATCAGGGTGTATATACCATGCTTGTTGCAGTTCCTTGAAACCTTGCACTGAGATGTTCGTTCACTTCCGGAAAAACAAGCTAACCCGAGAGTGATTCTTGGTCTTCCAGTCACCCTTACTTGATGGAAAGCTGCTGGCGTGTATATCCTGGAAGATGGACTGGGAGACGGTGGACTGGGAGATGGTGGACTGGGAGACGGTGGACTGGGAGACGGTGGACTGGGAGACGGTGGACTGGGAGATGGTGGACTGGAAGACGGTGGACTGGAAGACGGTGGACTGGGAGATGGTGGACTGGGAGACGGTGGACTGGAAGACGGTGGACTGGGAGACGGTGGAATTGGAGATGGTGGACTGGGAGACGGTGGACTGGGAGACGGTGGACTGGAAAACGGTGGACTGGGAGACGGTGGACTAGAAGACGGTGGACTAGAAGACGGTGGACTAGGAGACGGTGGACTGGGAGATGGTGGACTGGGACACGGTGGACTGGGAGATGGTGGACTGGAAGACGGTGGACTGGAAGACGGTGGACTGGGAGACGGTGGACTGGGGGATGGTGGACTGGGAGACGGAGTGTGTGGTGGTGGTTTGGAATGTTATACTGGGAGATGTAAAAGTCAGTGTTAGTTGGGATGTTAGAGAAGCAGCTTCCAATATCAATATACAAAAGTTCTGGTTCAGAGAGAGCGAGAGAAAGAGACAGAGAGAGAGAGACAGAGAGAGACAGAGAGAGAGAGAAGGGAAGGGATGGAGCAGTCATAACGGATTATTGACATGAAATTGGCGGTTGTAAATATTTAACACGCGTCCATCTCACGTGAGGGAGGGAGTGGGGAAGAGAGAGAGGGAGGGAGAGATGGAGTGAAGGAAGAAGATAGAGATGTAACTAACAGTATTGCATCCTCCACAGCTACAAATCTTCGGCTACAATTCTCAACTCTACGCCAACTTCTCCCAGGCGCTTGACAAGGCTTACGGCATCGTTGGTATATCTATCCTGGTCCAGGTAAGTGTGTGTGTGTGTGTGTGTGTGTGTGTGTGTGTGTGTGTGTGTGTGTGTGTGTGTGTGTGTGTGTGTGTGTGTGTGTGTGTTGTGTGTGTATGAGGTACTAATAAATATTAACTGGTGTATGAAATGAACATTAATACATAATACATTTCCCAAACACAAACAAAAATATAGTGATCAAGCAGGTGGCCACGCTGATGCTCAGCTACAAATAATGTTAAAGGGGGTCATGGAAAGAAGACCGGAGGCAGAGTGCAGACTCTGACGTGAGAAAACACGAGTATATAACACAGAGACTCTACGTATAAATATCGCACCGATCACCTCATTATGAGGCACATCAACAGCACAACATGGGCAACATATGCGAAGCTTACCAAACTAACAACGACCTTCAGTGTTATATAACACTTCATTCAACAAGGTGTATATTTCTCAGAGTATTGATTCTGGTGTTGAACAGGTGATATACAGACTGAGGCTACGTATCACGACCTTCGTATGGTCGATAAACTTTAATCACCATTAACAAGATTCTCAGCTCAAAAGCATACAATGAGAAGATAAATTAAAGACACTGTATCGAATGATCTGAAAAAAGGCCAGGAAGTGAGGAGGAAGAGCGAGTAAAGTCAGGTTAATTTACACAAGAGGAGCTGCTGTGAGGGAAGTAAAATACACAAATGACCACACAGATGCTGGTATACACTTTAGTCTCTGGGTGATGTGAGCTTAATAAAGATGTGGTGGATGCTGAATCCATGTACAGTTTACACGGTAGGTATGACCAGCCTATGAGGCTGAGAACCAATAATACACACACACACACATACACACACACACACACACACACACACACACACACACACACACACACACACACACACACACACACACACACACACACACACACACACACACACACACACGCACACACACACACACACACCACACACACACACACACACACATACACACACACACACACACACACACACATACACACACACACACACACACACACACACACACACACAGACTAAGCTATCCCTCAGGTCAGAACAAGCACAGAGAGGAAGGAAGGAGAAAGATAAAAGAGGAGGGAGAGTAGGAGATAAGCTTAAGGTAGAGAGACTGAGACAAGAAGTATCGAGGAGAGACGAAAGAAGAAATGAAGTTTAGGGAGGGAGAGTCTAAGGGATGGAGAGCAGGAACAATGATAGGGAAGGATTGGGAGAAACAGGGGGGATGGAGAATGAGAAGGAGGAAGAGAGGGAAGGAGAAAAAGTTCAGCAGGAGGGAGGAGAGAGGAAGGGAGGGAAGGGGACACTGTTCTCCCCTCCTCCTGTACAACTCTTAGGAAAAAGGACGCTGCTGGAATTAAATTTACTAGTTGGCAACTGGGTGTATCCCCCTCCATTTTTCCCCTCCCTCCCTCCCTCTCTCCTCCACTTTTTTTTAAATTCTCTCCTCCACCTTTTCCCTTTCCTTCATTTTTTGCGTTACCCTCATCCACCTTTTTCGTCCCTCTACATTTTCCCCTCTATCCTTCATCTTAATCTGTTCCTTTCTTCATATTCTGCCCCTTCCCTCAACCACCTTTTTCCCCTTCCTAAACCATCTTTTTCCCCTTCCCTCAACCACCTGTCAGCAGGTGACACAGTAGATAGAGGACTGATAAGGACACACACACACACATACACACACACACACACACACACACACACACACACACACACACACACACACACACACACACACACACACACACACACACACACACACACACACACACACACACACACACACACACACACACACACACACAACCATCAGCCTGTGAGGGAAAACCAGTTTTATTCTTTTATTCAAATTTTAACATGAATATTTATGTCTTGTGTAGCGGATGGTGTGGCGATACTACTGCCACCCTCACCACGCCCACACCACCCTCACCACGCCCACACCACCCTCACCACGCCCACACCACCCTCACCACGCCCACACCACCCTCACCACGCCCACACCACCCTCCCACATACCCACAACACAGGCACTATCAAGCTCGTAAAACTCCCCCATCCCCACACACACACACACACACACACACACACACACACACACACACACACACACACACACACACACACACACACACACACACACACACACACAAAATATAACTTTAGTCCTGTCGGAAAAGAAATATGTAAATGCTTATCAAACTATATAATAATTTACCCTCCAAGATTCTCCTCTAATGGTATTTAAATAAAGAAACACCTATGTAAGTGTGCACCTATTTAACTACACATTCCAATATATGAGTAACCATTTACCTACTTAACTATACATACACACACACATACATATGTATGTGTTACTATATAAATAATAATAGTAACTTATATCTCTTCACGTAAGTACACATGCACTTATGGACAATAAGTGGGAGAGACAGTGTTGTAAGACAAAGTTATGTCCTTCATATCGTTCACAAAATCCTCTCGGGTTTAGAGAGTAAAAGTTCCTGCCAACCATCTGAAGTTCTACTGCAGGGAGATGAAACAGGAAGCAGAAGGGAACGGGGTGGACGGTATCAGGTGCTGTACCATGACAGACAATGTTCCGCAAACTGAGGTAGCAAGGCAGCAAGGTGGTTCAATGAGTCTCTGAATATCTGTGAGGGACGAGACAATGATGGTCGGAGAAGAGGCATCAGGAGGGGCAGATGTGACGAATGAGGTCCCACAAGAGTCAGTACTGGACAAATATAATTCCTTATACGGTTAAGGAATCGCCAAATGATTACGTCGTATAATTCGCTGTTCGTGGATATTGTAGCAGTAATGAAGAGAATTTAAAACTGGAGTTGTAATGGGTAGACTACAAGAATTCTTAGACAAAATAAGGGATTGGTGAGACAAGTGATTACTGGAATTTAATCGCAGCAAGCGCAATGTAATGAAAATCAGGGAAGTAAAGAGAAAACTGGAGATGGTGTATAGACAGGATGGACAGACTGCAATCTTCAAACAAGGGGAAAGCCGAGCAAATCTCCAGACACGAACATTGATAGAATAGCGTCGTGGGCGCTACTAGCAGTAGCGCCCTGGACGCTAATCTTTAGAACGGCAAGTATTCCTTGAGTGTTCTTTATACAACATATGTCAGACTTCTTATAGAGTATCCAGTACCAGCTTAGAGCCCAGACCTCATTAAATACGTAAAGCATACAGAAAGTCCTGAGGTTGGCAACAAGGCTGCTTCCAGAGCTCAGAGGACTCGCTCAGGAGGAGAGAGTAAAATAATTGTTTGTAGATGTCTTAGAGGACAGAAGGACCACTGGAGACATAATAACAACGTGCAAGATCCTCAGAGACGTTGACAAGGTGGACAGGAGAACACAAATGGAAAAAGGCAATTAAGACAAACACGGACACACTGACCTGACCCCCCACAAGGTCACAGATATCCTACACTCACAACATACTCTGATTAATATTATTGAATTTCCTAAGAGGACTATCCTGGCACTGTATATTAACGTTGTACGTATAACGTAACATAGCCATATACAACTCCGCATCTATGATAAGAGCACTAACTGCATAACTATTAGTAACAACATAGTTATAACCTTAATAACATTCTTTCGTACGATATCACAGTGTTAACGTAACCCTTGTCACGATAACACGTCTCTTGCTGTTAACACAATGTTATCAACACAGCTACTGCAGATATCGGTGTAACAACACAACTCTTGCAAGTAACACAACATAACAACATAAATCTCGCTGTTAACACAGTATTAACAACACAACTCATGCCGTCAACACAACCATATCCATGACAGCACAATCTATGCTAAAAGGTTAAACCAATTTCTCTTCGGCTGACAGATCGGTGAGAGGTCGAACCCGGCGTTGAGTCAGCTGACAGCTGGCGTCGACAAGATCAAGTATGTGGGTGAGTATTGCTTCATCCATAACGGCTGATGACCTGTTTTCATCACTCACCCTTCCTGTGCTGTTACTCGTGTCTTGCTGCCTATATTATCTGTTGACATGTATCTCTCTCTATGTATTGGTGAATCTTGTGTGCTTGTGTGTCAAGACAACAGGTAGTTGGTTATATAAATATTTGGAAAGGATATGTACGTATATTTATATACATATATATATATATATATATATATATATATATATATATTATATATATATATATATATATTATATATAATATATATATATATATATATTATATATGTATGTATGTATATATGTATATGGATGATGGCACAGTGATAAGTACAAAGGAGTACCTTCCAGCAGATCTTCCTCAGGTGATGACACGGGGGTAGGATATGGGATTTATCTTTAATCTATCCAAACGTAAAATCATCTTAGCCAATCAGCAAGTGGTGGATGCAGTGAGATTCATACCACCAGATACGTCAATCAAACAGCGTCTTGCTGGGGCACTTCATAGGACTGATGCCACTGACGCAATTCTCGAAAATAAATCGGAATTTGAGGAGGATGGAATAACGAATGAGTTATCTCGACGCCCACGACACCTTGTACCTTCTCACAAGGTGTTTGACTCTGCCCAGACTAATCTGATGACTCTGAATTTCATGAATACGACAACCTCTCGAGGTTAATATCCACAAAAGTACTCAACCTCACCAGAAGATGGACGTTTGGACCAAGCTACACTTCCAGTCAAACTAACATGTACTGTTTTTCGCAAGGCATCACAGATTGGACTCTCTGCTTCCTGTCTTCATGTGTGGCAGCCAGTGAACGTGTAGCAGCGATTCTTGTTGAACACCTTAAGGATAACGTTGGGTTTCATGACCACAAAGTTCATTGACGGAGTCAGGCTCTGGGATGATCTAAGAGGCTCTGCAACCAGACCTATTTCCCCAAACAACTACAATCACACTAGGATGACCCAAAAATGCTTAAGAGTGTTGGGAATGGACAGAGCATATCTCCTGGCAGTGAGAACTCCTTATGTGGGGGATTTCCTGTTGGCCGTAAACAATTACTTCCTTGGTACACGCCTCGACCCACAGACCATCCGCATTCGTGTTCCCTTTTGCCTTGTCACCTCTATCTTTGCCGCAGTGAATCGGTAGACCAACTTGGGTACCATGATGTTCTATGCCGTAGATCCGAGGGAAAGATTGCAAAGCATGAAGAGATTGACATCATCAAGAGGACCCTCGCAACAGTTGGATGCCCATCAATAAGGGAGCCACGCCAACTACGCAGATCCGATGGCAACCAAAAGCGTCCAGATATAATTACCTTGCAAGCCTGAACAGACGACAAGCAGGTGGTGTGGGACTATACATCTGCATTCACACTGGCTGATATCTATCTCCAGTACAGTAGGGAGGAACGAGGGGCAGCTGCCAACTTCAGGGAGTGCCAAAAGTCTAGAAATTATGGTGAACTTCCCCATCACTATAGTTTGCTTTCACAGGCTTAAAAACCTTCAGCCCATGGGAGAAGAGGGTAGTTAAGTTCGTCAAGGAGCTAGGCAAATGACTCATCAGGTCACCTAAGGATCCCAGGACAGCTAGTTATTTTGTTCCAGTGGCTCAGTGCTGCAGTTCAGAGAGGTAATGCTTACTGTACCCTAGGTACACGTTTTGGCTCTGAAAAACTGGAGGATATTTTTGTAATGTAATTCCTGACAAACAAATATTTATAATTACTTGTAATTTATCTCTCAAAACTAATGTTATTGTATACTCCATCTCTGTGTCATCAATGTATTTTTTAGCTTTATCTAACATATATAATAAGTGAAGTGCAATATTTAAACAGCTTCAGGAAGAATATAAGTGTTTCCACGAGGTCTTGTCTATCCACTCCGAGGCTGTGGGTCACCACAATGTGCAGAGCGATGCCAGCTATTAGAAACTGTATTTTGTGGTAAAAAAATCTACGGTGAAACCCAATCACGTTTCACTTACTGGCGTCTGCCTACTGAGAAACACACACACACACACACACACACACACACACACACACACACACACACACACACACACACACACACACACACACACACACACAACACACACACACACACACACACACACACACATACACACACACACACACACACACACACACACACACATACACACACACACATACACAACACACACACACACACACCACACACACACACACACACACACACAACACACACACACACACACACACATACACACACACACACACACACACACATACACACACACACACACACACACACACACACACACACACACACACACACACACACACACACATACACACACACACACACATACACACACACACACACACACACACACACACACACACACACACAATACACATACACACACACACACACACCACACACACACACACACACACACACACACACACACACACACACACACACACACACACACACACACACATATATACACACACGTGTTCACCATCTACCTCAATAACAATAATAAGTAATTAATTACCGTAAAATTGCTCTTATTAATGGTACATTCAGAATATGTAAATTATATCCATGTTAAAATTAATTAGTGGATAAAAGACTAACATTATACATTATTATATTGTGCATTCACCAAATTGTTCTTATGGGGGTCGAACCACAGCGCCTGGTCCTCCGCAACTAAACCCACAATTGACCGACTTTTTTTTTTTTTTTTGCTGCTTGGCCTCTTCTGGCCATGTCATGCTAACTCTTGAAACCGTGTATAGACTTTTCTTCTGCCAGTTCCCTCCTTTTTCACCACTCTTGAACTGATGAGGTATTTCCCGAGAGAGAGAGAGAGAGAGAGAGAGAGAGAGAGACAGAGCCCCCCACACACACCTACACAGGGTCTTCACAACTACCTGGGACAATAATTAACCTCAGCCACACCTGCCTCTCTGTATACATGGCACAAACACTTTTTTTCTTAAAACTAACTTTTTCCAGTGCCGTTCCATCTCCCCCTTTATTTTTCTCCCTCTTTCCTGTCTTTCCTCTTCCTATTTTCTCTACCTCTCTCTCCTCTCCCTTTCTTCCCCCTTCCCTCCCTCCCTCTCTCGTACTACCATCTCTTTTCCTCTCCTTCCTCTTCTATCCCTATGCATCCATCTATCGGTTATTTCATCTACGTTGAGTGCCGTCTTCTGGCACTAACAGCTTCATTTATCCTCTAAAAACCATCACATCCTGTTTGTCCACATGACGTCACTCCCATATTTATTACGTCATACCTATGACGTCACAAATAAACCACTTGACGTCATGTATGACGTCATACGTAAATCTATGACGGGAACCACTACTGTATTTTGCTTCACAATTTTTGTCTAGTGTATGACTGGTTAGATAAACCCGGGGGATGAATTAAACTCGGATTTATAAGTTAACCCCGGGAAATAAGTTAAACCCGGGGGTATTTAGTTTTAATTACGATTATTAGGTACTCAAATACCTTTCACTGAATACTTCGAGACTTGCTGAAGTTAATGGAATTTCTAACAGAGATTGTAACAGCACCACTGGATATTTCTTACCACCGGGGGAAGGGTTAACCACCGGGGGAAGAGTGAACCACCGGGGGAAGAGTGAACCACCGGGGGAAGGGTTAACCACCGGGGGAAGAGTGAACCACCGGGGGAAGAGTGAACCACCGGGGGAGGAGTGAACCACCGGGGGAGGAGTGAACCACCGGGGGAGGAGTGAACCACCGGGGGAGGAGTGAACCACCGGGGGAAGAGTGAACCACCGGGGGAAGGGTTAACCACCGGGGGAAGAGTGAACCACCGGGGGAAGAGTGAACCACCGGGGGAGGAGTGAACCACCGGGGGAGGAGTGAACCACCGGGGGAGGAGTGAACCACCGGGGGAGGAGTGAACCACCGGGGGAAGAGTGAACCACCGGGGGAGGAGTGAACCACCGGGGGAAGAGTGAACCACCGGGGGAGGAGTGAACCACCGGGGGAAGAGTGAACCACCGGGGGAAGGGTTAACCACCGGGGGAAGAGTGAACCACCGGGGGAAGAGTGAACCACCGGGGGAGGAGTGAACCACCGGGGGAGGAGTGAACCACCGGGGGAAGAGTGAACCACCGGGGGAAGAGTGAACCACCGGGGGAAGGGTTAACCACCGGGGGAAGAGTGAACCACCGGGGGAAGAGTGAACCACCGGGGGAAGAGTGAACCACCGGGGGAAGAGTGAACCACCGGGGGAAGAGTGAACCACCGGGGGAAGAGTGAACCAACGGGGGAAGAGTGAACCACCGGGGGAAGAGTGAACCACCGGGGGAGGAGTGAACCACCGGGGGAGAGTGAACCACCGGGGGAAGAGTGAACCACCGGGGGAAGAGTGAACCACCGGGGGAAGGTGAACCACCGGGGAAGAGTGAACCACCGGGGGAAGAGTGAACCACCGGGGAAGAGTGAACCACCGGGGGAAGAGTGAACCACCGGGGGAAGAGTGAACCACCGGGGGAAGAGTGAACCACGGGGAGGAGTGAACCACCGGGGAAGAGTGAACCACCGGGGAGGAGTGAACCACCGGGGGAAGAGTGAACCACCGGGGAGGAGTGAACCACCGGGGGAAGAGTGAACCACCGGGGAAGGATGAACCACCGGGGGAGAGTGAACCACCGGGGGAAGAGTGAACCACCGGGGGAAGAGTGAACCACCGGGGGAGAGTGAACCACCGGGGGAAGAGTGAACCACCGGGGAAGAGTGAACCACACGGGGGAGGAGTGAACCACCGGGGAAGAGTGAACCACCGGGGGAGGAGTGAACCACCGGGGGAAGAGTGAACCACCGGGGGAGGAGTGAACCACCGGGGGAAGAGTGAACCACCGGGGGAAGAGTGAACCACCGGGGAGAGTGAACCACCGGGGGAAGAGTGAACCACCGGGGGAAG